GTCATTTTGGGTGGCGTCATCTTAGCCACGCTATTAAGCCTCGGCTAAAGTTGTATGGGGGTAAGCATGGGACTAATGGGGTCAAGCTGCAACCGTTTTCGCAGCTATTCAGAGCTTCCGTGTTCCACAGTGGGTGACAGTAATCGTGGCTTGCGGATCTGGGGTAGATCACGCCAATCGAAACACAGCAACGCCGATAAAGTCAACAGTCGGGGCTTGGTTCGATTAATGTTGACAGCCAACCTGATTCCAACTACCGGTGAAGTTGCCGTATGGAAGTGAGCGGTGGCAATTGGACGTCGAGTAAGTTATGTTGGTCCTTTAGTAAAGCTTCATAAGCAGCTGCTTTCAGACGGATCACGTTGGCTGATTTTTGCTTGAACTGGGGACAGCGAGGCGACTTCATCGCTCGGTGAAGTGAATGATTGAGTGTATTTCTAGTTCGCAGCTATCGTTGTCTAGCTTCTAGTATCTGCCAACCATGCTCACTTGTCACTGTCTCAAGGTATAATGTTAACGGGCAAAGAAATGATAGCACAGTACTAGCTGCGAAACGCGAGCGAAAGTCGCCTTTACGAGCTGGAAGCGCATCCGGCGTACGATACTAGCGATAACATTCAGTGGCCTTAGGGTCCCGTTCAAAGCTTTCGTAACGATAGCGTCATGGTGTCTACGCAATCGTTGTATGAAATCAGGCCAGCTACGCAAACAAACAGCATAGATCCTATTATACACTGCACTGGCCTAGTAGTGGAAGAATAGGCTTTAGTCGACCTTCCGCCACACAATCCAGAAGAAACTAATCGACCGAGTCCAACAGTGATGTCGCCTGCTACCGGCAAGTTCGCTTGCTCCATGTTTCCACAATCCTGATAGTTAGCTTAAACTCATTTGATGTAAACACCATGATTGTACATACGTAAATATAATCATGGTAAACATATTCTAACATTACTAATATAGTCGGATGGAGTGCCACAAGATCAGATTTACAAGAAACCTTCGCGCATGCGTTTATCGTAGAAGACTTCCGTATATGATCATCCAATTCTCATAGTGATGCATTGAGGTATTTACGCCTCTGGTCTTGGCTGCATTAATTATATTTCAACATGACGTGCACTACGCTAGAAGTCGGTGTGGTAAACATAAACCAGCTTCTACCTAAAGTATAAATTTCTATTCGATTAATCGAGAAAACAGACATCAAATGAACGGCAGCCTAGCTAGATATGATAACGGTTTGTAGTAAATGAAAAAGTGCTTCCGATCTTCATTGCTCGACTACCAAACACACAAAATAAGACTAGCACACACGTACATCATGTAAGAGAAAGAGTGACCTTATTATAATAAAGAGAAAAAGAAATAAGACAAAATAAATACTGTCAAAAGCATAGTCAGACAGTCAGCTGTGAATAAACTCGGCTGCGTCGTGTGAGAAATACGCCATTTTCATACAGAGCAAAATCGATATAGTGGAAGTGTTTTTTTCCCTAGGTGCTAATTGTTTTCCATTTTTTCGTGAATTTTTTTTCCATCCCGTGAATTTTGTTGAATCCTATTCTAGGAAAACTTTGCCCACGTTTCCGATTATGTAATCGACACATGGCGGAAGAAACGGCAAACAATACCTTGTCGCACGGTCATTAATATTATACAAAGGTTTACATTTTTTTTTATAAATGTATTTTTAGGTAGGTTTTGCAAGTCGGTGCTCAACTGTTCTTCGATATTTAGAACAATCCAAACGGAAAGTTTCTTCATTTTGCTTGAAGTTTGTTTTAATATATAGGCATATGAGCAAAGCGTACGAAAATCCTACGATTCCCGCATGCTATCCATTTCCATCCAGGTTATATCCATTTCCTAAGGATCTATTTGCAGACGATTTATTTAATGCATATAGCTAAAGATATTAAATTAGTAATTCGAATCCATATTACGTTTGTTTATCCGTACTCACATCACCTGCGCATGCATGTATGCACGCTATATATCCATCTGTATGCACACATTAGTGTTACCATTAATTTCTTACCTACTATACATACATATATGTCAATACGTTTGCTATGTTTGTCCTCGTTTTTTATAGTTCAAATCAATCTCCACCAATAGGAAGACTGTTGATCTGGTATAGCTTTATGTCGTCTGCTGCCCCAGAGGGCGCCGGCGTACCTACAGTATAAAATAAACATCTACCGCTTAGTAGTTATGATAGGTGTTTATTCGATTCGTGGCATCGTCCTGATTCTATTGTTCCGCGTTATTGCTTGACGCTTCTACTCACATACCTTGTCTCGATTTGGGGCATTTTGCAATAACAGATTATACTGCAAACAATCAAACCTTTGCAAATTGTCGCGCGGTTTTAATCTGACCGTCGTGGACTACCGGTATTGTCGTACCACATATATATTCGCATGTAAATTCCCTCTCTTTAAAACAGGTCTTCTAGATAAAGAGATTTCGAATTTAGCTGGTTGCCAATTGTGGTTCTAAGTAGAATTGGTAAATAATTTTGTCAAGTTACTTCGACCGCGATACGTTGGATTCTCTCAGCGTCTATCGATGAGGTGCCTCAATCGAATCAATCGTTACCTCAGCATGGTAACATGGGGATTGCAATTGAATTAATTATATCCGGATTAATCTAATTATATCCGGAATAATATCCGGATATAAACATCCGGAAAAATCTCGACCCGCTTTACGGAGAAATGTTAACTATGGAAAAAGGAGTTGTATATATATAGCAACATGCTACCTTATTCGCAGCTCCATGCTACACTGGGTTAACGTGATGGGATATAAACATTCAAACGCCTTCGTAGTAGTACTCAGTTATTATCAAGAGAAATTCTAAGATATTTTGAGCGTTTGATATACCATATAATATAATATGATTATGTTTATCCCGGTTGATAAAAAAAACTGCGCGGGATGAGATCTAGGCAGACTCATGGAAAAAATCTCAATAACTGCTATTTTTTACCGTACTATGACAACGCCGAAACTTATTATGGCATACGATCTTATGGTGATATTTAGATACGAGCACGAACAATTTTAGTACTTAGTCGGGCATGTTTGATCGAAGTATACAGCAAAAGAAATATGCTATACTACATAGAATCGGGTTGCTTACCCAAGCAAAACATAGTATGTGCTTAAGGATTATCAAAATAGTATGACAAGTAAATGGACGCTATTCAAACAAAATGTTGTGTGTGACCGCTACGGACCCAAAAGCTTTAAACTGAGTGGCTGGCTCCAAGTACAAAAACTATTTTACATTCCCATACAGGCTTTGGATCAAAGGCTACACTTCCCGATGCGTACGTACGTTGTTCTTTTTTTTGTTCCGGTGCTTATTGCTTCTTAGCACGCTTCAGTATCAAAAAAGTAAAGGGTAGTCCAGTCGCTATTTAATCGATGTGCCTGCTAGAGTGTTACTTACGCTGGTAAATATATAGATACCTTGAGATACATTTCAACAAACGATACCCCTTACACATTACTGTCACCGTTGATGTCATTGTTGCCATATCATACCAATCGTGAGCGATGGAAGGAAAAAGGAAGTGTACCATCGATTAAGCTTAAGTCGTACCGACTTTTCTGCAACGCCCTCTATTTAACGAAAAACCTGACAGAACATATCCAGTTATCACGGCTTTGCCCATACATCCTTGGCCAAAGATATCCCAAGTAGGATGCCAATGCGGTCTACACATTTGTGAAAAGAACAGTACGGCTCTAACGAATTTGCTTGATTGGCAACCGTTTTGATAGCAAGAAAAGGGACGGTAGAATTGCGCAAGAGGATGGAGCGAAGGACACACGAGAACATGAGGAAAGCCGGGTAGGAGTTGGTGAATTAGAGAAATATGGTTTGCTAGATCAAGCGTGAACACGTTAAGGTTGAATGGTACTAATTTTGAATAGTTCTAAGTGGTGGCGGTAGCGACGCTTGCGATTTCGGCTGAAAAACCCTTTCGCTCGACAACAAAAAAAAAAGAGAGACAGAAAGGGACGGCAGCATGAATCAAGATTAGTCAAGGAAATCAAGCATCCAGGCAAAAGCTAACCAACGCACAATGGTACAGGTGCAAAGACTAGGTTTGCGAGAACTCGTAACTGGATGAACAGAGGTCGTTCTAAATTATAACAGATAGAAGCCGTTACATATATAGCTATAATCGACCGGATGCGTTGTTGTCGGCTAGCTGGAAACTGAATCGGAATCTTTTCCAGCTCTTTAACGCTCAGATGGCTCCCCTGACCTGAATCTGCCTATTGTCGATAGTCATACACATATTCTTTGCACTTACGGAATGGGACCGCTAACAAGCGGTCCAGTCAGAAGAGCTCGCTCTGAAGCTGTGCTGAACTGTGTTGCCGTACGCTTCCAGCCGAACTTTTTGTCAAAATAAACATTCTTTTATATCTCAAAAAGCAGCATCCCAGTAAATCGAAGGAAACAAACTATTCATTTACATCTCCACCCTCAAACAGCCGCTGCCTTACCTACCCCCTCCATAGTATCCGAATTTTGGTGTTCCTGTTTTTTCGAACTTGGCTGTTTTCAAGCCAAGAACGTATTAATGAGCAGACAATTATCCCAAAGTACCTCTTCAACATCTATATCGTTTCAAACTCTAGGGCTAACAGGTGAAAATTGATCTAATCATCGCTTGTAGTTATGTACAATTTTACAAGGGCCCCATTATCAAACTGTTTAATCTGTTCGTTTAGATTTCTAACGAGCGGATTTTTAGAAGCTTTTTAAGAAAAAGTTTCTCGAGAAATAGCATTGAGTTAAGTACTGGTTTAGAAAAAATCCCTCTTTCGATGTACATTTCAGGACGCCAAACAGAATTTGAAGGCGTAATCGAAATAAACTTCCAAAAAAGTAACTGGCTATTTATATCCGCCTTGAGCTGTCGCAATACTTTATAATGATTTGATCTCTTAATTTTTTTTATTGTTTGCAGAGATATCTCATCTCGAGGACACAGCAAAAGTTCGTCGAGCCGGGGTGAATCGCCACAGGGAAGCCCTCGTTTTAAGAAACTGCAGATATTTCCCTCCAGTTCCGGAAATTCGTCAGGAAGTGAAGCGTCACATCACGACGAGCGACATCAGTCGACGCCGCCTCGAAGCCCCAAGCAATGGACGGCATCCCCTACCACAAGGTAACTTTGGGATAATTCAATCTTAAATAACTGCTAAACTGAATCGCAGGATACATTATCAAATTAGTCAGTTTTGAAGTATAAGTTAATAACGCTCGCGTTGAGCTTTCTTCATGTTAGGGTTAAAAGGCATGTAGACTTCGCTTGCAGACGTGCCCGTACAAGTAAAATGCTATCTTCGTTCGAAGGAACTAAGGAGTACTTATTCTGAAGACTGAATAACTAATTTTTTTCAGAGAATTAAACGTTCTGACTTTACTATTCAAAGTTGAGCAGCGGTGACAAAAGCGATAAATGTGACACCTTTGGACAAGGGCCTATATGGGGGAACATAGTGCGTTTACAAATATCACATGTGAAACTGTTTGTGAAAACTTATTTGGACGCCCAGTATGTCGAACAGTCGGGCAATCAACCAAGCCGTGCCTTTGTCTGGGTTGTGCACATAATTCTACATGTATTGGTTGAAACTAAAATTTCTGCTTTTACTAACATCAGATAAGTAGCGACCAGCTCTGCTCAACATTAAGTTCTATCGTTCATACTTTAGTTTCTTCTATAATACATAATCAGAGAAGCCTGATACGAAAATGTATAATATACGATCTAAGGAGTTTAACTCAATCGCCTGGAAAGCAATAATATCTTTTCCATCATCCCATGCATGTGCTTCTTGCGTTTTGAAAACTGTAGAACTTCAAATAAAATGAACAAATGGGAAGCTATAAGCTTAACACTAACCTGAAAACCGGACATAAAAAGCACAAGAATCTGCCTTAATGACAGGATAGAGTGTTGAAGCTTGTGCGATCCATCTTATATGTGCTCCGTTACCGATAACTGGGATGAAATGCTTGTTCCTTGACGAGCAGCACCAATGTAATGACATTTGGATCCAAAGGCACGCTTGAGTGATAAGGGTCCCGCCTGTTTGCTGTACAGGATCTGAGAACGTGTAAGATACAACTATAACTGGGCGAAATTATTTTTCATTTTGTTAAACCGTTCTGCTTGATTTAAATCAATAAACGAAAGCGGAACGCTTCAATGACCAGGATAGAAATCTAGTATCTCGTTTGTCACGAATAAGGCACTAAACTTGCTCAGCTAAAGATATTTCATCGGCATACAAATGAACTTTGTAGCACTTAGTAATAAAGTTGCGCCAATAATATCGCCATTGCAAGTGAGGGTGCTCCGAACAAAGTTGCGGCTCACTTCGAAAAATTTTCTTCGATTTGGAACAAAGGAAACTGTCAAATCAAGGAGAACATCACATAGCTTGTTAACATCATTTGTTCCAACGTGTCTCGTTGGTCAGCGGCGACTGTACCTTAATTTATGTACATCAAACATATAGAATATGCAGGACAGGTGTGTATGGTACACGTATTGACCATAGTTATGCGTTCACCTAGGGTTTCGAACTGAAAATGGGATAGGTACATCTTTTGACTAACCCAGTTCTAGATTCCACACTGCCGTGCGGCTATATATATCAGTTTTGCTGGGACCATAATATAGCTCTACAAAACATCCATACAAACCCAGTTTGCCAATACTTAATCGATCTTACATTTACCCATCGTCCGTTATTTGTCGTCTGTATGCTCGCTAACTGAATGCACCTCTCAGAACTCTAATCTGGACCTCTCCCTTTTCGTTGCTCCGAATACTCGCCGTTGGTTGCCACTTACCGGAATCCCTTACTTCCCTTCTTCCCTACGGCTTTGTAGGCCTGCTACCGCGATCAGCAGAGCTGCAGCTATTATAGTTAGTGCGCATTGTGCAGTGTCCTTTCAGGTTCGGCCTGTTGCCTAGTTAGCTGTTGTCTTCGCAACCGTCATTCATATATTTCGCATGGTTAATGACAGATGAAACTGAGACTACGTCATTCAGTTTTGTCTAGTAGAAAGTAACTGAAGATAAAGAGGGGGTATGAGCTTAAATGTGAATGAAGTCGGCGGCCTCTATAAATAGATGTCGCAAAGACTTCCTCGCTAGCTGCAGTATACATGTACCTGTTTAGAGCTACTAGCGCGTCATTTTTTTTAGCTTAACGAAGTTTTGCTCATTATCCCGTGCAGCCTAATCAATCATTGAGATATTGCATTTCTATCTTCACTACTTTTATTTTTTATCTGTGAACTTACTGCTGTGTATCTAAATTCAGCAAATGGTAAGTCGGGCGTAGTAGGCGCTTCCACACGGGACAGTATTTGGGATTCCCAACTGGCGTTCGGTAGTTTTCTGAATTTTTAACATAGACACTGCAGTAAAATCCCCTTGTTGCCACATGAAAGTGGCAATGTAGTCACCATCTATCTTGTTGGCTCAGTCCATCGATGACTGAGGTAGTATGTAAGGAGACTGTTCGTTTCGCTGCTTAATAAGCTTAGCAATCATATGGAAATAGATACTTCGTTTGGCAGAAATTACGTGAAGGTTTTCGCTCATGAATGTAACGCTGTACGCATTGAATGACTATTACTTTTATATATTCAGTTGCTTTAATCTCTAAAGCTGCGCTTTGCCCACATTTTTTTCAAAACAGTATAATAAACATTGTGACATGAGAAAATTTAGGCGGTGAAAACAAAGGGAGCAAGGTGGCGGTCCCATGATACAGGCGTTAACGCAATACATTTACGTATTAAATTGTGGAAAAAGTACTAACCGTTTTAAGCTGGAATTAAGGCAAGTTTTTTGTTTTATTTCAACTTAAAATCATCCAAAACGCCATTTCGACCCAAATTATCTCTGCTATTTTCTTTTGGCAACGTTAAAATTCTATCACTGTAGAACTTCTGTAATTTTTAGGCGAAAGTTGTAACAATCGCGTCCGTCCATGCTCAAAACTAAAATAACGCCTTTAAGGTGTTCTGCAGGATTCGATCCGACCTACGTGGTGGATATATTTACATTTCCCATCTAAAGTTCGCTCATTTTTGGCCGGCTAGCTAAAGATGTATGTAATTTGCCGTTGTTAAGTGGAAGACAACGCTTTTCCTGTTCACTAGTTCTCTATGCCGATCTTTGTCACTGACTTGTAGTAATCTTGTTAGCTATTGACCGTAGAGATCCGACTCGTATTTGTCTGATAATCTTATGGACATGTTGTGACCTAGGTTCGAATCCGGGCCTAGATAAACCTTGAACCTTGAACTTGAAACCTAGAAAAGCCTAGACAAACTCTGTTTCGCACTTGGAGTGAAATGTGTGATGGAACACCTAGTGACGACGCCAGACGTAAAACTCGAAGCACAAGGAGACTTTTGTAGATGAAAATACTTCACAGGAATTCATGTGGAAACTATATTATTACTATTTTCGAAACCAGCTTTTATCACCTGATTTCAAAGTATTTGGTGGCAAATGTCCAGTAGATACTTTTCGACTTTTAATATAAGAAGACAATAATTTCATCAAATTAGCCGAGCGCTACGAGAAACAACTTTTGCACGAAGATTTCCAAAATAAAAGGACAAAACCATTTTTATGCCCTTTCTACAAAGAACGCATTTTTATCATAAACAAACATGCATACCTTTATTGTAATAAAACGACAGAATATAGCAAGTAACCACATAACCCATATAATCTGAAATATGTTACGTTAGTACCGTTTAGTTAAAAAAAAACAACTAATACTTCTTCGAGAAGTCAATATCTACATATAAGTGGTAAGTACACATTAACTGCACATGACTCTTTAGAGGTACTTTTATAAACCCCAAATAGGAAAATACTGTATTGACATATAATAGAACCACAACTGATCCCCGGGGTCCTTATCCATCGTTATTATTATTTTTCCATTCATCAATCCCTTATATTAATCAAGCGCAATGATAGAGACATGAGCCTATTACTCAGGTCAAGTATCAACTTACTGACGTTTTACGAATCGAACTTCTGTCTCAATTTATCCACTACGCGATTAAATCGGCAAAATTCCCAGCTAATTAAAAGTCAGACGACTGGTCTCTTTTCAGTGTTGACAGCTCGACGAACAGAGAAAACCCTGTAAGCTCTATTGATATCTAGCACCATATGAACGCTAGCAGTGTTTGGATACCTTGCCATAAATTTCTGCTGGACGTGGTGTTAGGGTTATCTGTCTTCAATAGCCGATGCTTGCTCGATCGCCAGGCTGCTAGCAAAAGGAAACTCTAATCCGTACTCCAGACAAGAAGCCATTCACGTGTGCTATAACTACTTCGATTGCTGTTGATATTTTTGCCACCGGCGTGGTAGGCCTTAATAATGTAGAAAACACTTAGCTAGCAATCCATAAGTCACTAGTTTGTCGTGATACTGTTCTCTTTTTATACGTTCTTCTGCTCGTGGAAGCGCTTATTGCTCGCCATCAGCTTGTACCGTACTACAAATGAATCTATAGTACTTATGCTGCAAATTAGGTCAAACCATTGGCTGCATGTGAAACTAGTAGCAGAGTTTACTTTTTATGTATACTTGTTAGGTAACTAACGGCAAAAGCCTACCGTCTAAAAGTGAATTTGGTCGTACTTGCAGAGATACAAATGTTTGTATTTTTTTTGTCTGCGAAGCAAAACAAGCGCATAAGATGCTATACATTACGATTTTTCTACTGTCTTAGCCTTTTCCTCAGCTAATACTGGCATTTATGCAAAAAGTTCTTCTAATTCACTTTCTTCTTCATATCGTCCTTGCCTAACCTTTTTGAAAGTCCTTATTTGGCGATCGTCTTTGCTCTGCTCGTTCACCTAAGCAGTCTCTCTCTATTTTTTCCTTCTCTGATTCTGACGCTTTCACGAACCCATCTTCTTATAAACGCCTGCCTTGGCAAATCGTTTCTCTATGGGAGGAAGGTGGCAGCAGCGGTTGATCGATGTCGCTTTCATCCACCGGGTTTTATAATGGATGCTTCGTCATCGTTTGAATAATGACATAACGACGGCCTACACACGTCTGTTGTGTTCGGCCGGCGTTTGAGTCTCTTGGCCCTCGTCCGGTCA